TTTTCAGCTTTTATTATGAAAAAAGAAGACATCACATTTACATTTCAGAATATTTTTAAACAAGGCCTTTTTGTTAAAGCTTTAGATATCTAAAAATTGTCTACATGATTCATACCTCCATGGAGCTTTGCAAATCACACAGTAGTCACCAAACAGCTATATTGCACAAAGATCCACACAACACTACACCATTCTTAGCTTAGTCTATATTGTAAAGTGCTGTTTCGTAGGAAGATACTTGTTCTGGAAAAATAAGTATCTGGATAGGCAAGTACTGCTGACTGTATTTCTGAAAGGTGATACTTCCATTTTAGTGAAGAAAGTCTGACAGCGTGTTGTCAGTGCCTCTGACAATGTGGTTTTTTACTTAATAAGCTGGAGTAAGCACCACAGAGTACTGTAATGAGTGCATCCTAAGTATTCAAGTAACACCAAAAGCCAAATCAATTTTTAAACTCAGAATGAGATAAATACAAACAGACATATCAAAAGGTAGATAAATGCTTAGTGTCAGTCTCTGTCCAGTAGAATGAGTAATTGCATAGCAGAGCAGATCTTAAACCAATGTCAAGTAAAGCTATAGTAGTAAAAAAAACCCTAAATTTTTAATCTCTTACTTCTACATTCTCAAACCAGTAAAATTTAGTATTTTTTTAAATAAATGAGTCTGAGAAATTGTATTCATGTCTAAGATAGAGTGTTCAGTTTATCAGTATTGCCACAAAGTAACAAAAGGCCAAAGCCTGGTGATATTGGTCCAGATGCTTATAAAGAATACAAATGTGCAACTGTGGAGTGCTAACTGTGACATTAACACCTCTAATTTAGACCAGTTTCTGAAACAGAGGAATCAAAAATGACACAGGCAAATATGGTTTTAGGACTATGGAAAGAAGGAAAACACAGAATTTTGTCATCCTTCTCAACAACAGAGTGTCTGTAGGGAGGGCTCCTTCTGTTAGCCTCAGAAGGCGAGCGGAGAAAGAGGGGCAGCAGGATGCTCACCAGCACAGAATGGCTTCCATCCAGCAAGGGGAAACATGAAGGGGAGGGCATAATGGGAAAGCATCTGTTGCAAAATGACCTAAAGGATAACTAGCGAGGGACAATTTACCGTTTCTCCTGCAGGAGAAAGTTCCAGAAGATACCCACTGCTTCACACCTGCTGCCTGCGACATCAAAGTCTTTCTCATGCAAGCACACAATGACGCTGTGCAACATGCTTCCACACAGCCTTACTAAGGCAGAAACATCGGCGGGTGAGGCCCAGACTAGAAGTTGCCCTTGCTGGGCCTTTCTAGCCCCAAAAGGCCTGTCATGCTCACCTTCGCACAGCAATAACCATTTCCGCCAATTTCTTCTGACAGTGGCCACTGGACAGAGGCTTAAGAGAGAGGACACTGGGAGGAGTAGACTCCAGGTCAGATCAGTACAACAGTTCAGACAGCAAAGCACATAAAGGTTTTACATTATGACCTACATTCATTTAAGCGTATTGAGATATTCAGGTCCCGTTTCATAACTCTACAGCTGTATACAGGTACTTCTTAAGCATACTTCACACACATTCATCAAGATGCAACACTATCCCCAAATTAGAAAGCATATCCCCAAATTAGAAAGCACCAAGTATGTATTAGAAACATCCTTCACTTTAGATCCTTATTTTTCCACAACACAAGTTAACAGTGCAAGTACCCCAACATTTTTTTACGTACACTTCTATAAACAGATGCAGTCAACCTCCGTGCCCAGTAAGATCATGTAACAGATCCTCCTGGAAGATATATCGAAACATATGGAAGACAGGGAGGTGATCAGAGACAGCCAACATGTGTTCACCACAGGCAAATTGTGCCTAACTCATCTAGACCCCTTCTCTGATGAAGCAACTGCATCAGCGGACAAGGGAAGAGCTACAGATGTCATATACCCGGACTTCTGTATGGCCTTTGATACGATCCCCCACAACATTCTTACCTCTAAATTTGAGAGATGCAGGTTTGAAGGATGGACTGTTCAATGGATAAAGAATTGGCTGGATGGCCATGTCCAGAGAGTTACAGTCAATAGTTCAGTGTCCAAGTGGAAAAGAGTAATAAGTGGTGTCCCACAAAGGCCTGTACTGGCACAATACTATTTAGTATCTTCATTAACAACACAGCCAGTGGGATTGCATGCACCCTCAGTAAGTTTGCAGATGACACCAAGCTGAGCAGTTCATTCGATAGAGGGAAGTGATGCCATCCAGAGGGACCCTGGCAAGCTTGAGGAGTGTGCCCATGTGAACCTCATGAGTTTCTCAAAGGCTAAGTGCAAGGTCCTGCACAAGGGTCCAGGCAATCCCCAGTATCAACACAGACTGGGGGACGGAGAGCAGCCCTGCAGAGAAGAACCTGGCCATCCTGGTGGATGAAAAACTGGACGTGAACCAGCAATGCGCACCTTGCAGCCCAGAAGCCAATCGCATCATGGGCTGCTCGGTGGCCAGCATGGCAAGGGAGGTGATTCTACCACTCTGCTCTCCCAAGACTGTACCTGGAGTATTGCACACAGGTCTGGGGCCCCCAGCACAGAGTGGTTCTGGAGCAGGGCCACAAAAACGGTCAGACCGCTGGAACCTATGAAGAAAGGCTGAGAAGTTCAGGTTGCTCAGCCTGGAGAAGAGAAGACTCCAGGGCGACTTCATTGCAGCCTTTTCATCAACGACCTGGATGAAGAGTTACAATGCACCCTCAGCAAGTTTGCTGATGACACCAAACTGGGAGGTGTGGTAGATACACCAGAAGGCTGTGCTGCCATTCAGTGTGACCTGGACAGGCTGGAAAGTTAGGCAGAGAGGAACCTGATGAGGTTCAACACGGGCAAATGCAGGGTCCTGCACCTGGGGAGGAACAACCCCATGCATCAGTACAGGCTTGGGACAGACCTGCTGCAGAGCAGCTCTGCGGAGAGGGACCTGGGTGTCCTAGTGGACGACAGGTTAACCATGAGCCAGCAGTGTGCCCTGGCTGCCAAGAAGGCCAATGGGATCCTGGGATGCATTAGGAGGAGTGTGGCCAGCAGGTCGAGGGAGGTTCTCCTTCACCTCTACTCTGCCCTAGGGAAGCCTCATCTGGAGTACTGTGTCCAGTTCTGGGCTCCCCCGTTCAAGAAAGATGAGGAGCTACTGGAGAGAGTCCCAGCAGAGGGCTAAGAGGATGGTGAGGGGACTGGAGCATCTCTCCTACGAGGAGAGGCTGAGGGAGCTGGGCTTGTTCAGCCTGGAGAAGGCTGCAAGGGGACCTAATCTATGCTTATCAATATCTAAAGGGTGGATGTCAGGAGGATGAGGCCAAACTCTTTTCAGTAGTGCCCGTGACAGGACAAGGGGCAACGGGTACAAACTGAAGCACAGGAAGTTCCATCTGAACATGAGGAAGAACTTCTTCCCTCTGAGGGTGACGGAGCCCTGGAACAGGCTGCCCAGGGAGGTTGTGGAGTCTCCTTCTCTGGGGATATTCAAGACCCGCCTGGACATGGTCTTCTGCAGCCTGCTGTAGGTGACCCTGCTTCGGCAGGAGGGTTGGACTAGATGACCCAGAGAGGTCTCTTCCAACCCCGACCATTCTGTGATTCTGTGATTCTTTCAAAACACAAAGAGGGCTTAAAGGAAAGATGGAGAGAGACTTTATACCAAGACCTGTAGAGACAGGACAAGGGGCAGTGGTTTTAAGCTGAAAGAGGGTAGATATAGACTAGACACAACTAAGAAATTTCTAATGAAGACGGTGGTGAGACCCTGGAACAGAGAAGGTATTGCCCAGAGAAGGTATGGATGTCCCACCACTGGAAGTGTTCAGTGTCAGGTTGGACGGAGATTTGAGCTACCTGATCTCACGAAAGATGTCCCTGCCCATGGCAGGGGGGAGGGACTAGATGATCTTTGATGGTCCCTTCCAACCCAAACCATTGTATGGTTCTATGATTCTAAAAAATAAGTGACACAGTTTCTAACATAAGGAACAGAAATTTGAGGGGGAGACATCCTTTAAGGCAGAAATCGGGTCTCAAAACTTAATCGGTGCATTTTTAGCATTCTTACTAAAAAAACAAGCTGCTACTAGATAAAAAAAAATTAACTGGCAAAAGCAAGTATTAAAAGAAATACCTGAGTTTTTTTTTTAAGTTCACATATTTCTACTCATGTCAATAACTCATTTGCTTTTGCCTAAATAGCCAGATACTACTACTCACACATGCAAACACTTCTGATTTTGGACTCTAAAGTCTGATGTTTAAGGTAGAATTGCACTTTATGTATTTCATATAGCCTGTAGCAAAAGCCTGGAAGCGTAAAGAAACTTACCATTATGCCACCAACTTTATGACACCAGGTGTCAGAATTAGAGGTTTAGCTTACAGTAACATTTAAGGTACATGACATGCATTCAGATTCTAGTTTACCCTCCTCTTTCCAAATACAACCTTAACGTTCAGCTGCAGTTCTAATTTCCCCCTGCTTTATAATCTATTTTTGCAAATGTTATTTCGTGGTGAAAGGGCGAACCCGTGATGCTCAGGGGTTAACTGGAAAGCATTTGAACCCCCAGAGGCATTCAGACAGATTTCTTAAAAGGATAATGGCAATCACACGCTGTCAGCTTTGACTTTATTAAATGCAAAACTGACTATGTGAGGATTTAAATTACACAGAAGGCAGATTTTTACCCCAGAAGAGTGATTTTGGTTGCTAGCCAAACTTCTTCCCTGCTTCCCCCTGGGAAGAAAGTCTGTGGAGAACAGCATCGCACAGATCACAAGAAAGGCAGGAGAGCTCCTGGAAGAACATTTCCCACCGGTGTGGGAAGTATCTGGACCATTTGTTTAAAAAAAAGCACGGCCCAAAGGCTTGTGAGCAACTCGTAGGTACAATGTAATTAATCAGGACTGAAAACTAAGGTTGAATTCATCTGCTCTTATCCTCCATCTCAGAACAGCAATGGGAAGAGATTACTGCACTAGATGTCGTCGTGGTACTCCCCGTACTTTGCTGTGACAGCTTCCTCGAGACGAACTGCTGCACCACCCATTAAGGCAAACGCCGGGTACATTATGCCAGAGCAGTCCACCTCGCACTCATAAAGGCATTTCATACGGCCTGCATCGTAGAACCCCACCTTGCCCTTGTCACAGTCCAGGCAGATGCCCAAGCATGGCGGCAGGGGAAGGATTCTGCTTGCTGGATCCGTGGGGGCAGCAGGTGTTGTGGGGATAAAGAACTTCTTCATGCCTAAAGTGACCAGTGGGAAAGGCTGCAAGGAGTCAAAGAAGGCATCTTCACTCCCGCTGTCATGACCACTGTCTTGCTCGTACCTAGAAGAGAAAAGCAACCATTTCCTTTTCTCAGATTCTGAAGCGGGATCAGTGATGTGCACTGCAGAAAACATTCTTGTAAGACAGGTAACACCACACAATCACCCATAAAACCTTGTGGGGTTAAAACACGCCTAAACCAGGAAGGGAGATGCATTTAGTAGGTGCAGAACACTCACTTGGGCCACTTTAAACAATAACAGCTAAACACTAATGAGGACAAGACCACAGAAGGCTTTACTAAGGAGCAGATATATCTAAACATACTCATGCTAGGCAATCTTTAATGAACGTACAGGTATAGTAAATTAGTTAACTTATGAAGTGATTTAGCAAATATGACTAATCATTACAGACAAGATATGTTTAACTTTATGTAAATAATGTTAAACGACACCACTAAATAAATTTAACGTTACTATTTCCCATGCCACTGCTGTATTACCTTGTCTTTAATACTCACAAGAAAAAAGTAGTGGTTTAAGTTTTGGATTTTTTGTTTAAAGTGCTCTGCCTGGAGACTTCCCTGAACCCGTTTCCCCGATGGTTACTGGGGAAAGTCTGTCGCCTGGTTTCTTCAGTCGACATGCTTTTCCTGCTACTTCTGTCCCCCAGACGATGACAGACCAGAGAAGTGCACACTCCTATGCACAGACAATCCCTGGCTAAGTTTGCATTTTTGGGGTGTTTGTGGGGAGACTGGATGTGTGTCAGCTAAATTTTCCAGGTATTTGTGTGGATAAGGAAAAAGACATCAGAAAATCAGGATCTAATTCCTCATTTTGCAAAAAGGCTCCATCTGACTTTAGGCAGCTCAAGCCATTGGCATTTTTACACGTTCACTATGATACACAGGCGGAAGCCAATACATTCGTTAGACTCCTGAAAAAGTCACAAGTCCCCAGGAGATAACCTCCCAGCCTGCAGTTCCTCGACACATCCAGGCTTACTACAATCGTAACTGAGAGCTGGAAATCTTTTTGCTGGTTTGTCCACTGTACTTTGGCTTGTGCTCAGTAGCACTCCAGTAGTGTATGCAAGCGTATAGCCTGGGACAAGCGAGTGACTTGGAATCCGCTGTGACGCAAGCTACAGAAAAGATACGCTGATACGCACAGTGAACATTGTACCTCTGAACAGCTGCCAAACCTAGCATGCTAAGGCAATTAAGGCAGGGCATTACTACTGACAATTAAGCATTGCTTCAATCTTGCAACTGATGGGGTTTTTTTACCTTCTTGCTTTAACTGGCATTATCTTCACGTCTATAGGAACCTGATTTCTTTCCCAAAAAGAAAGAAAATAGGACTCTGGATAATTAGAACATCTTTCTACTAATAGCAGGGGATGAATAGGACAACTTGCTTACACCATATGCTTCAAGCATTAGGTTCACCTTCTGTACTAATTGAGACCAGACTTGCTCTCAATTTACTTTTTACAAAGCCATCTCCTTATACAAAACATGTATTAAGCAAGAGTCTGCAATTTACCTTGGGCTGGTCACATCATGGGTATTATGGAACAATTTCTGTATCTTGTTGCTAGAAACAACTCCCACTTTCACCAGGTAGGAATAGGCTTCCACATGAAAAGCCCAGAAGTGCTTCCCTTTGGCAATCCCAGTGTCGCCGATGATGTAATCCAGGGTTGTGTAGCAGCCAACCTGCATGCGCTCAGATCCCAGCAGCAGAGGAAGTCCAGCTGTGCTTTCCACAGAGGTTCTTCTTGGGTTC